TGAATTAAGTATACACACAATGAAGTATAAGGCCTAATAATCAAAGACAGGTATGTATCTGGGGATGAACAAGAGCAATTAAGTAAAGCAAAAAAAGGAAAGGCACCAAAAGGAAAAGAGAAAACAAAGAATAATAAAAGACTAAAATAAGAATAATGAATAAGGAAAACTTTTTAAAATTAAGTAGAAAAAAGAATTGATTTATTTGGGGGATCTTGTGTCCACCTTGTGTCTAGTCTGTAATCAGTCTCTTGGTGGAGTCTCTCATTTGTTTATAGTATTGTAATGTTGTCTTACATCCATAGGTGACTATTATGGCTACATCATAATATGTATTTCTTAAACATGGCAGAAAATGCCACACATCACCCCATTTCCTCTTTCTTCCTGGTTGGTATTCCTGGATTGCAAGAGTTTCACAGCTGGATTGGCATTCCTGTCTGCCTGCTCTTGGCCCTGACCTTGCTGGGGAACACTATGATCATTACCACTGTTACGCTAGAACCAAGCCTCCACCAGCCCATGTATTTCTTCCTTTGCATGCTGGCCATGAATGACATGGGCCTTGTCATTTCCCCAGCTCTCAAGATGCTTGCCATCTTCTGGTTTGATGCACACTGGATTGATTTTGATGTCTGCCTAATGCAAATGTATTTTATCCACACGCTTTGCATTATTGAGTCAAGCATCTTGGTTGCCATGGCTTTTGATCGCTATGTAGCCATTTGCATCCCGCTGCAGTATACAACTATTCTGACAACATCAATGGTGATTAAAATTGGTCTTGTTGGTTTGGCCCGAGCTACGGTGATGGTTTTACCATGTCCTCTTCTCATTAAGAGGCTGCCTTACTGTCTGAAATATGTCATTGATCATGCCTACTGTGAACACATGGCTGTAGTAAAGCTAGCCAGTGCCAACACCCATGTTAACAGAGTGTATGGGATGTTTGTGGCCCTTTCAGTCATGACATTGGACATAGGACTGATAGCCACATCCTATGTAAAAATCCTGCAAGCTGTCTTCAGGCTGTCTTCTCAGAACTCCCGCTCAAAAGCTCTGGGCACCTGTGTTGCCCACGTCTGTACCATTCTTGTCTTCTACACACCTCCACTGTTCAGCTTCTTAACTCATCGTATTGGTAAGAACGTTTCCCCTAGTGTCCACATAATCTTTGCAAGTGTGTACCTCCTTGTGCCCCCTACAGTCAATCCCATTGTGTACGGTGTCAAAACAAAGCAGATTCGGGACCGAGTTGTGGGTTTCTTCTTCCTAAGTAAAAATACCCTCTGAAACCTGAACTGTTTAAATACAATGTATGTCTTGGGAATCTGTTATTGGAAACTATGGTGTACTGAGATAGTTTCCATCTTATCCTTGAAATTGTATTGATTGCTTAGTTGTTTATGTTTATATCTTATATCTATTACTTATTAGTGCATATGTGAATATCTTTTTCTACCAACAGATACTTTCAGTAAGCTGGTTTGTTATTTAGAATGAACATTTGTGGTAAAATACAGCAACACTATGGTTTGGGTTCTAATATGTAACTGCTTGTTAATGACCACTCCCATCTTTAAGCAAGAAAACACATTGAAATTAGAAATGTGTACAATAAAGCACAGATGGGGAGAAGATCTTCAAGTTATACAATGGATAAGAGCCTCATATAAAAAATATCCTTAGAACTCAAAAAATTAAACCCTCAATAAAAAAATCCTCAAAGAAACAACCACCTTATTAATAAATGGGCTAAAGAATTGAAGAGACTTCTCTGGAGAGGAAAACAAGAATAGCCAATAGACATGTTCAATATCTCTGGCCATAAAAAAATGCAAATCAAAGCTACACTGAAATTCCACCTCACTCCAGTTAGAATGGTCATTATCAAGAAGACAATTCATAGATGCTGGTGGGGATGTGGCCAAAAGGAAATTCTACTAAACAGCTGGTGGGAATATAAACTGGTTAACCATTCTGAAAAGCAATATGGAAGTACCTCAAAAGACTCAGCATAGAGCTCCCGTATGACCCAGCAATCCTACCCCTGGGCATTTACCCAAATCATCACAAAGAAGGCCACACAATAGCTACCAACACAACTATGTTCATTGCAGCATTGTTTACCAGCTTAGATATGGAACCAACCCAAATGCCCCTAGT